TTAGGCATTCGTGCAGGTAGTTCTTGCAGTTTCCCTGGCACGGAGCTGTTGATCTCTGGGCACTGAGCTGCGTCACCACGTGCTGGTGCCGGCAAAGCCCGGGGTTTGAAGGGTCTCGGGTGGGGGTGAGGATAACCTGCTTGTGAAACAGGTCTGGGAGGTGCTGACAAATACCCTGGTTAGCAGCAGAAAGCTTCAGTCTCCAGTCACTGGCTGAGAAATGTGAGATCCATATATATATAAATAATCAAAATATGTATATATAATCAAAATATGATCTATCTGTATACGTTCATTTTAACATTTGAGATGGGTTAGGTGTCTATCAGAGCATTTTTAAGTTCACACGTGCCCTTAGAAACCTGGCTCTTGGGATTTGCCTCTCCCCTGCTGCAATCCCATGGGAAAACTAACCTCGTTCCCTGTCCCCTCCTCACATTCCAGGTGTCTCCTGACCAGAGCAGAGCTTGGATGGAGAAATCCACCCTGCTTCATGCTCATCGTCTCCCGAGGGCCGTATTTGTCCACCTCCTGTCTTGCTGGAGAGGATGCCAAGGAGGTAGCTGGAAGGAGAGATGCTGATCTGAGTTTTTTGGTCTGCGCCTGTGCTCAGCACACAGGAGGGAGGATTAGTCACAGTTCACGCTGTCATAATAAATTAAGGTGTAAGGACAACAATAGAATAGAAGTAAAGCACGTGCGAAATATTCTGCATTACTGGTAAGAAGAAATATTAGGCTCGAGTGTTTTGGATTGCTAATTGCAGGATGTGTTAATTGCAAGGCAAGCAGCACAGCCCCTTATAGAAGCTCCAATGCACATAGCTTGCATTATGAATAGGAAGAGGAGTACGTGGGAAGATGTCTCGATGAAACCAAGACAAACATCTAAAAACACTTAAAATACTCATCTGAAGCCCTCCTCCTGTCTCTGTGGTATCCCTGTTAATCGCAGCCCGCTATAAAAGCACTGCCTGCGTTTTGTCTCTTAGGCTCACGTTAGTTGCTTCCAACTTTCTCATCAGCCCCATCTATAAATTCAGACTCTTCTTAAATAAGACTGGTGCCACACAAAACCACTTCTCCCATCCTCGTGCGCTGTCTAACGATTATTCCCTTATCCCTTTATATAACTGAATCAAGCCTGACACTTAAAGCGCTCCCTTAGGGAAGTTATTGAATTTAACAGGGCTGAAACCAACAGGGTTCTAGAGAAATGCTCTGAAAACCTGGGCAAGATAATGGAAAACAATATCTTTGCTGTAAGTTGCTGAACCGCCCTATAAAACTCTATGGGAAGAATGAAATTCTCGAGGACTTTTTTTTTGCCCATAAAAGCTGATTATGAGTAAATTGGCCTCAGCGCTTTTATTGTTGAGCCCCCAAAAACTCCGTGGATACTTTCGTCCTGCTTTCTCTCTCCTCTGCAGAAGGGTGTTTTGGCTCTGCTCCTTAGCAGTTTGTTCTCATTTCACTCCCAGATGGGCTGCTGTTTAATCCAGCCCCGTGGTACCGAGTTCTGCCACAACTCACTCCTCGAATAGCTTTTCCCTGCGAGTCCCTCACCTTCCCGTGTCTCTGACAGTGTTGGCTGCTTGGTTGTTTTTTTTTTATTTTTATTTTTATTTTTTCTTCTTTTTATTCTGACTTTGGAGGAAAGCTTAACTTCTGCTCTCCATTTGTGCTCAGGAGAGAGATGGTGACTGGAAGAGGAGAGGCGCTGTGAAACAGAAACAGGACAACCAGCACTGCCTGCCAGCGGCGAGGGCTTCTCCAACCTTTCCCAACCCTTCTCCAAGCTTCCTGAGCCAGAAAAAAACAGCTGAGGCCCTCAGCTCCCAGGAAAAGATGTTTTTTTCAGTGGACAAGGAGGATTACAGAGTGTCCGAAGCTCTGACGCTGCCAGGGATTTTGCATTACCGCGCCTGATAATGCTCCCAGGAGCCTGTGCAAATATTCTCATGAATGAAAACCACCAAGCTACCTCACTGGTATTTGCAATTCCTTTTATTCACGCCGACTTTTTCTTGCTGAGGCTGCTCGCACAAAGGGCGAATAAATATTCGGAGTGCTCCTGCCTGAAACGCGCCTGCCGATGTTAGGAAACGTTCTTCTTATTTTCCCAGTGCATTCAAACAGTTTCAATCGAGGAACCTTTAAAGAAACTCCTGCTTGTAAAGGGAAGGTGACTGAATAGGGGAGCAGAAAGAAGATCACACGATCACCTCCTCACCTAAGTGAAGAAACCTAGCAGTGACTCGGGGACACCCAGATATTAATTGAGAAGCCAAAATGAGTCCATTTAATGCTCTTTGCCCAGATAGTAGATGTTTCTCCCATTGACTTGTTTGCATGCACGTTTTGTTTTGTGCTCTTTAACGAGAGTTAAAGGAGGAAGAAGGGAAAAATAAAAAGTTGCAGCCAAAATACTTGGTGTGATTCCACTTGCTCTGCTCTTTTCTGAAGCACGGTGGATGCGGTGCCTGTGTTTGAAGACATGTTTCAGGCTGTGCCCCTTTCCCTTCAGGACATGCCTTAAAGCTGGCATTCAGCTCAGCGTGATGCGATCGGAGGTGACATCGCATTGTTCGTGGGACAGGGTAGGTAAAAAAGAAAAGAGCTGAAAAGGAACTGTGAAATTCGGAGCTGCTGAAAGCTCCCAGTGGGAGGGATGAGACTTTCTGGGAGGATGGAGGCAGCCGTGGCTCTTCTCATCGCAGGTACTAATGCATCCCTAGCCTAGCCTCAAGCTTTCTCCCCCAGTACCTTGCTCTTTGTCAGTGTACAGCAGAAGTGGCTAAAGAGACCCAGAGAGTTCTCCCCAAATCCTAGCATCCCTCTGCTCAAATCCTGCTGCCCAACCTGTGTCAGGTGGGGACCATTTCTCACTGACAGCCCCAGGCAAAGGGGAACAGCTGCCTAAAGCCAGCTGGGCAGGATGGCCAGGGAAACGTTCACCGCGTGGAAAAATCTGTGGGCTTTCTTCTGTAAGCAATAGGAAGGAAGTTGTGCTCCTGGAATTGTTTTTACGTGGTTCAAAATGCACAGCGAGGCTGTCAAAGTAGCCTCACGTAAAGGCTGCAGGGCTGGGAGAAGGACCAGACAGGTTTTGTCCAGCCCAAGTGATGTTGTTGATGTTTGGGGAGAAACCCCTAAACCTCTCGCTTTGGGGCACCCAGTGGAAGACTTCTCTCTCCTAGCTTGTGCCTTCTCCCCTGGAGAGGATGCTGAGCCCACCATTGTGATCTCCTGCACCAAGGCTGAGCACGTCGAGGACCATTCACCGCATCCCTGAGCTTGGAAAAGAGGTCGTGACACCCCAGGTACAATGGGATCCCAGCCGTGGCTGGCAGAGACCCCACACCATCCATAAATCTCCATCAGAGCTCCAGCAGGAGGGTGGCAGAGACACCGGGAGCTGTCCCTGGCCCCATAAAAATAACAAGTTGTGGCATGTGGTGGGAGGACCAGGAGAGTGCCAGGTGCTGAGGAGCCCATCTCCATATCTGGGGGTTATCTCCCTGGTGTGACCGCTCTGGCCGGGGCCGCGCCGTTCCCTCGTTACTGCGCCGCAGAGAACTCGGGTGTCCAACCCCAACTCTCAGTATTTTGTGTTTCCAAGGCAACCCCGGCTTTAACAGCCTCCGTAATGACATCATTTGGTTGAAATGAGCATGCATGGTCTTTTGATTACCACTGGAAGTATAAATTAGGTTACTTTCCCCACCCCCAGCCACTTGAAAAATAAATGCATTGGAGTGGGGGGCGGGGGGGCACGTTTTTAAAAAAAATAAAAGGAGCTCGGAAGAGGGTAAATGGAAAAATCAATTTTTACATTAATGGAGTCCTCATTCAGCATTTCTTCTCTTTATAGATTTAGATAACAGTGATATCTTAGTTTCACAGAGCAAAGAAATTAATTACTTACTAATGGTGCAATTCAGAAATTAATTTATGTTATCCATTTAAATGTGTCATTATTAATCAATTTAAGCGAAGGGACCTGTAAGCCAGCACCATCTAGGCTGACTTATGATGCTGGAAGACTCATCTTGCCCCCTCCTCGCTGGCAATCACGCCGTGCCTGCTACCTGCAAGCTGTTGCACCTCCAAGTGCTCTGGCATCCCCAAAACAAGACCTAAAGGGTTTCTAGGCTATTATTCAAGATTTTAGAGCTCTTTTTATATTTGAGTTACTCGAATTTCTGATCTGAGGTTCGATCTTCTGGTTTTTGTTTCTTTTTTGGCTGATTTTTCTTTGTACAGAAGAAGGATGCTGCCTTGCAGAGATGCTCTTGGCTTCCCAGTAGGTCTTGGCCATGCTGTGGGGTCTTAGCTCATCATGAACCGTGGGTTCCCGTGTAGGGTTGGAAAGGGGCAGCCACGTTAGGAAGGTAATAATTAAATTGTCACAGATCTGTTTATTTATTTTACCGCTGAATTTAGAAGAAAAGAGGTAACACAGACCGCGGGACTCTTCTTTTTTCGGAATAAAGTTGGTCTCAGGCTGAAAAGGGGGGCCCCATACCATGCAATAAATCAGGATTAAACTAAACGGTGCTGCTCAGAAGCCCTCAGCTGCTTTCTCCTTGAAACAGCCAGGATTTCAGTGTGTTGCAGCTTTTCTCTGCCCAGCTGTCTGGGCCTTTTTGTGGTAGGCAAGGGTCTGATTTATCGTTTTACGCTGTTTATGTTATTAATGCCTCTGAAAATGTGGGATCTGCCACATATTTCTTGGCGCGCTCCTCAGAGTAAATGGCAACTCTGATGGCTTTGGAAGACGATTTGCTGAAGGATACTGTATTAAAATTCTGTTTGGACATTTGGGCTGCTGGTATAAGGATGTGATAGCCATTCCCTTCCCGTAATGATATATTGTCATGTTAATTTTGATGATATCTCACTGTAAAATAGAGGGATTTGAAAGCCTGCAATTTGAGAGCCTGGAGTTGTACCTATCTGTCTGTATCTATATTTATATACAGGTTATTTCTTTTTTTCTTTTTTTTTCTCTTTCAAAGTAATGCTTGCACTTAACATCTGCTGTACCGATGATGATTCTTTATTAGGTCTGGAGAAATTTAGACGTGTGCTGATGGTAAACCAGCTTTTTTCAAACTAAAAGCGTTTCAGATGAGTTGCGTGTTCTTTCTCAGTGTTTTGTTTCTCAAACCAATTACTGCCCTGCTGCCCACATCAGGCAGGTTTCAGCCTGAAAGTTCCCTTTGTTGAGCTAAAATATGGTCTGTGCTAAATGCTGAGCAGCGATGGCTGGAGATGAGTAAGCAGCAGGTTGCAGAATTAATCAAGAAATCATTTAGCACCTGCAAATAAATACTTGTAGCTGAAGTCTTGATCTTTTTCTCGGCTCCTGCTTTGTTTTGGCTAGGTCCTGGGCCTCAGAGCAGAGGTGGGAGAGAAGTAGCTGGGATTTAAGTCTTCCTCTCTTTTCTGCCCCTCTTTGACTTGTGCCCATGTGCTGCCGCCTCCTCTTTAAGGGATCATCTCTGGGCCAGGCCAGGACCTCTGTCCCCCCATTTGTTCCCTGGCTTATTTTCCCAGCTGGTTCCATGTCCCAGCTCCTCCAGGGTTTGGGCAGGGGGTGGGAGCGCTCCCCATCTGCTGCAGCAGCCCCCTGGGCGGTTGGATTTGGTGCTGGAACAGGTTTTGGAGCATCCTCGCCCTCCCTTCTGGGATCCCTTTTTGGTGATCTCTGCCATGCACCAACCCATTTCTCCCACAGCCGTAAGTCACGGGGTAACCTTGGCAGTGGCTTTACTCACGGGGCTCTGGAGGGTTTGATGTTGGAGTCCAGCCTTTATTCATTGCCAAGCCAAAAAAAAAAAAAAAAGAGGTTAGTATATAAAACATTCAAAAGCTTTCTTGCTTTCTCAGATGAAGAAATTGAGAAGGAAAGATAAACCCTGGCTAAAGACCTGGACTTTCAGATGCTTGCTGCTGATTATGAATCTTGTTCCTTCTGAGGATGAGAGGAGAGCAGGCTGGGCCATTAGCAGTCAGATGTGTATTCATTTCCCTCCTCTTTCCTTCCATCCATGTCCAATAGCCACAGAATATTTCGGTCACATCCTTTTCTAATGCCTTAGACTTTCATGGGGCCGTGCTCTGATCTTTTTTCTTTGAATCCTGGAGCTTTACTGCGCGACGAGAATCGGTCTTGGAGCCTCGGAGGGTGCCGAGCTGCTGGTGACCGTGCCCTTAACCCCGCAGCCCGGGGATCAGAGGTGGGGGGCTGGTTATTTCCATCGCTGCCTCGTGTCCCCACGCAGGAGGAGAGCTTCGTTTCTGCCCCATCGCTGCTCGCTGGGCTCTTGACAGAGCTCCGTCTCCCTAATCCTGCGCCGCGTCCCCTCTGACAGCTGCAGCGGTGCGGAGCAGAGCCCCGCGGCAGGAAGGCTTAGGGCAATTTGCTCCCGAGCTGAAGCTAATCCCTAAGGATGGTAACTGGCTTAGGACCAGAAAATGGGGCCTTTTTGTGCCTTCCTTTACCCTTTCTTTCTCTCCTAGCCTTAACAGTGGGATCCATGGAGGCTTCACACCTGCTGCCGCAGCCTTCCCCGCTCCCCAGGTGCGGTGTTTAACCTTGCGGGTGTTATCCAGGGTGGTTGCCTGGGGGCATAGCTTGGAAATAAGAGCTGAGAGCCATAGGTCTGGCTGCTCAAATGTAGGAGGAGATCCTGAGTAAGGGAATAAAACGCCTCGGCCTGGAAATGGGCTGGCACGTGGAAGGAGAGGCAGGGAGCAGCGCCCTGCTGTGATGGAGTCCCCTCACTCATCTTCAGGCTGGGCGAGCCCAGCACATAACAGAACTTCACAGAAGCAGTAATCACAGTAAAAATGATATATTACAGCCAGAAATGTTAGGGGAGGAGGAGTCCGAGGTGCATCCTGGCAGGCTATTGCCTTTTCCCATTTGTGACTTATTTGGACGACTTCGGGTCCTTGCAGGCGATGTAGGCAGCTGAAGCCCAGTGAGCACCTCCCAGGGACAGCTTCACATGGCTGCAAATGCAACTCTTCTTCCTCTGGGTGGGCAGCGAGGGGAATGGGGAGAGGAAGGCTGAAGGAGGAAGAAATTTGGAGGATGTTCAGCTGGAACCTGGCCCCTGCAAGTGGCAGTGATGAATGCTGCGCGATCTGCCACTGAGCGGGCTGAACACGTGGTGAGTGTCTCTGAAGGCTTCCTCTGAAGGCATTTATCTCATAAAAAGGAGTTCTCTGGGGTGTTTGACAGATCTTGATTGATTTGCATCCTGCCTGCCTCCCTGGTGCCTGCCTCTTGCACACCACAGTGTACGTGGGGACTTTCCCTGGAGCAGCGCTGTGGTGCAGCTGGGGCCAGCTCTGGCTGATGTCCATCTCCTTGCCCAGCCTGTACCCCCCTCAGCCTCCAAAAACAATGCCTTCCCCTCATCAAGAAGCACAAAAATCGAGGGGCTGGGGCTGAGCAAGCCAGGCTGGGCAGGAAAAAGTCAGTCAAGGAGTGGCTGAAAGAAGTTACCAGGCTCCTTGCCATCCCAGAAGAGATCAGGGCACAGAACATCAGCAGCCTAGAGCTAGGAAAAAATGCTTGTATTTACAGCAGGGGCTGATTTTGCATTTATAAACGTTAACAGTTTATCCATAAGAGAGTCCTGGGACAGACTCAGATTATCCACATGAAGATGCAATAGGAGGAAAAGCTTCTTCCTGGCATTTCTATCTCCCGTTTTACCCAAACCTCACCCAGCTCCAAGGCATTAGGTAACACCAGTGAACACAAAGCTCCCTTTTACGCCCTGCTTCCTTCACATGGGTTGTGTAGCCTCCGAGTGATGGGGTAGGGGCAGAAAAATACAGTGTTTGTAAAGCAGTCCTCAACTGAGAAGCAATTTAGCAGCAGATGCTGCCGAGTAAATACCTTAACAAACCAAAATGCGCACCTGGATCCACTGAAACGAAGGGACCTTGATAGGGAGGCCTAATTGGGCTGCAATAGTTGGCCCACCTGTGAGCTGGGGCTGCAGGAGCTCATAAAAGCAGAGCAAGCTGCTCTTGCCTGGGAGCCTTTTTGCATCAAGTTTTCTCCCTTTTTTCTGGAAGTTAAACTCGGAGGAAGCTCAAGAATTTGGGACAGCAGGTAAGAAATGTTTTGTGATTGTGGGAGCAGGTCAGAGCTAATTGGTTTCTCAGAGGGCTGCGGCTCGGTTAAGAAACTCCTTGTCTCCTCTTCTGTTTTGACGTGAGATGCAGCATTTTTGGAGTCCTTTAGGGCTGTTTCTCTGCTCACAAACAAATGCTTTTGGGACCGGCTCAGATCTGGGGTGCTGTGTCGCAGGATGCGGATGAAACGATGTTTATCGCTGTATTCCTAGCGGGGTGAAGTGAAGCATCGAGTACGATATGCTTACCTGGAGAGCTGAGGCTTTGAAAGTGGCACAGCTCTTGTGAAAATCTCTTTTTAAAGGACTGTGCAGTGCGAGCAGGGCTCCGTGGCTGGGAGACCGAGCGTTGCGCCTACTGCAGAGACTGAAATTAGCTCGGTTCAGAGCTCCCTGACTCCCTTATAACCTCTGCTGCTTGGTCCCAAAATGGAGCATGTAAATAAGTTAACCCCTATGTTTTCAGACTGTTGTTCAACCTCCTGGGCTCCCTCTGTCCCCTATATCTCCCTCCCCCTTTCCCCTATATCTGTCTCCATCCCATCCCAGTGCTGTGGGTAGGAACAGGGGGTGATCTGCAAAATACTGCCTGGCTCCAGCTTCCGTGCAAATGGCTGTAAGGACGTTAGGCTCTTTTGATTTATACCCCAAAATGCATTAGTGTAGTTAAATATCTTTGGTGTAAGGGCAGAAATGTTGGCTAATGCAGCGAGCACTGCTTGACCCATTCAGGGTCTTTTGCACTCAGGGACTGAAGCAGAGAATTTTATGTCTGGTTTTCAAGATGACTGACCCTTTTATTTTTTTTTTATTTTTAATTTGAAGCGAGCACTGTGTGGTGTTAAACAGCCCCAGGTGGTAGGAAAACAAATATCAAAGGGTCTGCTGAGATGAATGCACCTGGGCAGCTCACCACGCACGGTGGCTTCTGCTGGTCCCCTGTGGGCACCCTGCTCTTGTCCCAGGTCCAGGACCTTCCTCTCTATGTGGGTAGAAGCCTCCTCTTCCTCCCTGCTGTTGTCTTACCTGGATGGGAACGCTCTGCCTGGCTTGGCAATCTGCTCAAAACCTTGGCTGGACAGTAGGAACCAGCACGATGGGGATATATGGCCACCACTGGCAGATGGGTTTTGGGGAAATGGCTGTGGATGCTGAGCAGGTGGCTGAAGTTCTCGTGTTCAGATCTGGCAGGCGTTACGATATTTGGGTATTTCTGCCTCTCTGGGGTCCTGGGTGGGCTACCATACCCTCTAATTGCTGTTTTTTTGACTGATGCTTGAGGTCCTTGTTGAGCTCACTTTATCGGATCTCCCATCCCTGCCCTGATAATACGCAGGTAGCAGGATAATATATCTGAGGTCACCACAGCCCTGCTGTGAGGGGGTCTGGCTGGCTGTAGCTGCAAGTTTTGTGTTTAAAAAACAACAAAAAAAAACCACTGACCCTATTTTGTGTGGCACCGTGCTCCTGCTGCAGAGCCCAGCTCATCGTGCTCTTGGTGCCGGACCAGCAGCAGGGCCACCCGTGTGATCCCAGCCGTGAGAAGCGACGTTCAGAATGAAGGATGATGAAATCTTTTCATTAAAAAATAAAACGAAATGGGACCGACTGTCGCCGTTTCTCCTCCGTTCCCCCCGAAAGCGCTCCGTGAATTCCCCCCTGAGCAGATCTGTCAGTCTGCGGCGCGTGGGGCCGCCTGCGCCATCATTTATCTCCAGTTATTTTATTTCTCCTGGTTTCTAAGCTAATAACGAGTGATGAGGGCTCATCTCCTGCTCTGGGCACCTTCCCATTACTTAACTAACAATTAATAAAGCAGATAATGGAGTGTTTCTCCCACATAGGAATAAACACTCCGCCTGCTTAGCAGTGGCATTGCAGCATCCTCAGTCTGCTCCAAAACTGCTGCCCGTGCGTGACGCACTGGCCTGAGTCTGAAGAGGCATTTCCCTTAGCTTGCAATAGGAAAATGGCTCAGTTTAGAGATTTTCAGGCTGATTCAGGTAAAATTTCCCCCCTGCTGAGCTCCAGCAGCATTGTGACCATGCCACCCTGGGGGTCTGTGCCCCTTGGGGGGGGTTCCCCGATGGCTGTCGCCCCAGGAAACCTCTACCACCTCCAAGTCCCTCAGCGTGCACTTGTCCTTTTAAATATCCTTTTATATTTTTTTTCTTCCCTTCCCCTCCTCCTCCTGCCCCTGAATTTTTTGATTGTTTCACCTCAATCTGTCCTTTCAAAGCCCAGCCCCTGCAGGATGTTGCTGGTGGCGGCGCATACTTTTTTGACATCCAGAAGTGTGCTAGACCACCGAGCTGCCATTTGGAGAGATCAAATGATTCCCGGGGCTTTAAAATTATGACACTAGCCTTGAGGGCTGGAGGAAGTGGATAGTCAGGAGCTGAAAGCTGCCCCTTTGAAGTTTGGGATTTCTGGAGATGTCATCTTTTATATATATCGCCAGCCAGGTTGCTTTTCATTTCATCCCAGGGTTATTCTTGTCTGGATTCTTAGAGAGCGAGACCTCACTTCAAGGCAGAAGGGATGAGGAGAAAGATGGATGAGCCCGGCCGTTTATGCATTTCATATCCCTTTGAAATATAATAGTTTAAGTTTTGTCAGAAATCACAACACGCCAACACCTCGTGCCTTTGTACGGAGTGCATCTCCCCTGGTTGGATACAAATTGAAGCCCTGTGCCCCTGTCCTCGTGCTGAAGCACCTCCAGCCCCTAACCCCGGGGCTGAGCACCTCTTTTTCACCTGGGTGGCGAGAGGAAAGCTTGCTCTGAGGCTGTGGGATGGGTTGTGCTGTGCCATCATCTAGGACTGAAGGGACAGGGACAGGACAGCCAGGATGCGCCTTCCCCCTTCTTAGAAGGAAAAAGGGCAAAAATGTCTGCCTAGGCTCAAAAAATAAAAATCAATGCATCCTGTGAAATCTACTGCCAAAAATAAAAAAATAACTAAATTATGGGGTGTATCTCCTGCTTCTCAAGATCCCTGTCTGGCCAAGTTCTCCTGACCAGACTCCAAGTGAGTAGGCTCTGCCTGGATGGGTACTGGCTCAAAAATATGCTATGGCCAAGCAGGGCTAACTAAATTGAATTTTTGCTCGTGGTCTGTGACTTGAATATTATGCTTAGGGAGAGCCCGTGGGCATGGTCCTTGCTTGGTGGAGGCAGAAGTTGCGGCAGCGAGGGCTCTCCCATCAGGTCCCCCCATCCAGCAGTGTCTTGTGCCCGGGAGGAGCTGCTGGCCAAAAAAAATAAATAAATAAAAGCCCCCGTGTGCGCAGAGTGGTGACGGATCTGGAGTGTCTGGAGAAGATGAAATAATTTATAAGCTTGGGTTTTAATGTTCCTGTGTTGTGTTTTTTTTTTTTTTTTTTTTTTTTTTTTCTGCAGCTGCCACCTCCCCACCTTCTGTCATTGTCGTCGAACTGAATTTACAAGGGAAAGAAAATAGTTCTCGCTAATGTTCTCACACAAACGAAACATTAGCTAGAGAGACAAAAAGAAAATAATTGATTGTGAAAGCAAACCCCCTGTGAGACAGCCTGAGCATTATCAGGAGCAGCCTGGGAGGGGAAGAGGGGGGACAGGGAGAGGGGAAGGGAGGAGAACAGGCCGGCCTGGAACAACAAACATAGCGTTTATGATAATTATCCACGTTTTAATCCCCGTTTCCAACCAAGCATTCACTTCCTTTAATTAGTTCTTGATTAGAAAGAGATTATCTAATAAATTGCACGAGTACGGAGCGGGTTATCTTCACTGTGTTCTTGCACGCGAAGTTGGGAGTGGATGGGCTTTGAGAGGGGTGAGGACATGCAAAAGCTCCCTTTGCTTCTCCCTCGTTCCCTTGGCTGCAAATATTGTCCGTCGCCGGCGTTAACAGCGCGGCCAGTGATGTAAATCTGTAATTAAGCTGAATTAGCATGTCCTCGAAAGTTTTACATGCGCAGACACAAAGGAGGCTCCTGCCTGGAGCCTTTCCAGCGCGATTTGAGGGGAGGGGAGAGCGTGGGTTATTGAAAGAGCACGCTGCTGACGTTCTGGGCGCTGGTTGTGGTGTGTGCTGAGAATATTATTTGGGGTTTGCTGCCTGGATGGGGCTTTTCTTCGTCCGCCAGTGAGCGCTGGGAGTGGCGTGCCAAAATCACCTCTCTGTTGCCTCATGTGGCACCTCAGTGATGCTTGGGTGGTGTCCTCCAGCTCCAAGTTGAGTCTGGCATTGCCAGACCAAGTTTCTCCAAACTGTGGCTCTGTAAGAAAGGAAAGGGAAGTGGAAGAAGTGGTCTTGAGGCTGGGCAGGATCTGGCTGGGTTTCTCGGGGCGGTTTTTTCAGCCCAAAGTGACCTCGCTATCGATTGAGGCAGTCGATAGGCAGCTACTTAAGAATAAAGTTCCGTTTCCCCATTTCTTCTTCTTCTTCACTTTAATTATCTAAGATAGATAAGCAGCTGCAGGCCAATTAGAAAACAATTACCCGCCGTAATCAATGCTGGCTTGGAAAAAGGGGGAGGGCAAAAGAGTAAATGCTGAAGAAGTGCCTTAAAACGCAGTGCCCAGGTAACCCTGTCTGTGTCTGTGCCCAGAGGGCTTGGGGCAGGAATGGGACACCAGTGATGAGCATGGTGGCCTCTGAAGGCTGTGTTGTGGACATGGAGGAGACACAGCCGTGCTCTGGTCTTGAGCAAGTCCCTCCGTTTCCCTAATAATCCGAATTTTATATGGACGGTAACAGTTCTGCGCTGAGTGCTGCCAACGGGGTCTTGTGGTTATAATGGGCAGCCGGATGAAAATACAAACTTGGTTCTCAGTGGCAGGCAAAGGGAGCGAATCAAACAATAGGAATTAGCAGAAAAGCAGAGAAAACCAGAAAATAGTATTATGCTGCCCCAGGGGGTGCATCCGTGGAGTGCCGCTGGCCTGCCACCAGCGGGGAGGGAAGGATGGGGAGAGGCAGTATGGGTGGTG